TAGGCAGCCCACTGCTCCCTGATACAGGGATGGGTCAAATGCAGAGACAAATGTCCCCCTTACCAGGATGAATGGTTATGTTTTTGTTAGCTTAGGCCATGTATATCTACATAGGGAGCGGGTCCTCTTCATGGAGTCAGCCTGTTTCACACACACAAACAGACACACACACACACACGGAGTGAAGTCAGCGAGCAGAGAGGCTGCAGTGGAGACACTGAGGTGAACCAGGTGAAGTGAAGAGGACAGGAGGACAGAAGAACAGAGGACAAGAGGAATGATTGATACTATCTGATTGTGTTTCTTTATGAACTTCACTCAGAAATGTATTTCATTGACATGTTAGATTTGTTTCCAGTGAGATACTAATTACTTCATATAGAGACTTTGCTGTATTAAACATTATTGCTGCTGCTCTGGAAACAATAATTGGTTATATCTAAATGATAAATAACTTCTAATCCTGATCTCACTTGATTTAAAATTGTATGTATGTTTTTAAAAGCAATTATTTAGAGTAAAGTAGCTCCTAGTAGTAATAAAAAAAGAGTATGGAACTGACCGACTGCTGGTATTTGGGGAGTTGGGAGTGAGACCAGGTTGGATATGCAGATAAACAGGTCCATATGATTACTGTTACTGGCAGATGTTGGAAATATGACTGCTAAGCACTCAATGAAATCTCCACCATTTGATCATTGAGACTTGCAGAGCTTATATAATCTTGCTGTATTTAAAGTCAGACAGACGAACAGAGTAGAGGAGACGAGGCTTGTGGGTAAACACAGAGAAGGTGTCCAATATCCCACTGCCGTGGACAACAGAGCCCATTTAGCAGGGGAAGGTATTACATTATTAGCTGCGGTGACAAGTGATGCTGACCATGGGGGCCACACTAGCTTACTGCCTGTCAGCAATGTACCCCTAGAGTCCATCATGCTGGGCCCCTAAAAGCCGCTGCCACACACCTTTACCTCACGAGGCTACAGGGACCTATCAAAGAGCCTTTATCTGGGTAAATATGTGAGTCATTTGAGATATTTGACACGTATTTGATGCATTCAGGTAAGCCGCCAAGCTCTGGACTCGGAAAACAGGGGGGGGAAACAGGGGGGCGGGGATTCGGATGAGAGAAGAGCAGGTGGTCAGCGACAGTATCGCTAGAAAAATCTCCACTCTCTCTGCACAGATGAACAGGTGCTGCATGACATGCAAGTCAATGAAAAAGCTGTCGAGCACATAACGCATGCACTCCCCACCTTACTGCTTCAGTCTCAGTGTAAGCCGCCTCATCTTTTGGTTTGCCCGATGTGCCAGCGATAATAAAAGCCTTGTCTTCAGAAGGGCTTTAAAGATCTTTGAGGGGGAGACGTGAGGATGTGGTGGACAACTACTGGATGGATTGCCATGAACTCTGGGACCAGCGCTGCCCACAGTGGGGCCCACAGGGGGCCCAGTGCACCATAGGGTTAAAATTGGCCTGGCAGATGTTTCTAGCAAAAGATAATAATGGTTTAAAAAGATAAAATAAATCACTGTTCATACACTGATGTTTAAATACGCAGGATCCCTAATGATCAATTATTTTTCATAATCGGAGCACAGCGGAAGTCAGCTGGTGCAAGTGAGGTAAGAAAAGAATGGAGAGGCAGAGACTGTGTACAATTAAGGGAACTTTGGATCCTGGTATCATTTTGGATCTTTCAGAACGCGCTGAATGTTTGGCCAAAGGTGTTGCTGCTTACAGCTTTCTGGAGAAACCATGAAATAGCATCACACACAAGTCACATACTGTATACTGCAGGGACAGACTTTACTGTTAGTTAAGCTGAACCTGGGGCCCCAACTGAAAGGGCTCCAAATATACAAAACAGTTCTTCTGATGTTTAGATATGAAAAATATTGAAATGTGTTATAGTCTAACTCTTTATACCATGGAATAACTTAACAAAATAACAAAAAGGCCCTCAAAGCACTTTAAAAAATATGCAACTCAACAGTATACTACTTACTGTGTACTTCTACTTCAGAGGAAAACCTTGTAGTAAAACATTTACCTGACAGAGAAATGTTACTGGTTACGTTGCAGGTTCAGATTTGGCACAAGTAAAATATAATGCATTATTATTCATTAAGTGTCAGCATCATATTAGAATTGAAAGCTCCACTTTGAACAGACGTCAAGTAGATTTAAGTACATTCTGCTGATAATGTCTCCGTCACTCTTCTTTTGAAGTTTTTTGAATGCACTACTTTTACTGAGTGGTATTAATAATTGTATTAATAGTATTAAAATTGTATCTATGAAATAGAAATACACTCCAAAGAGGCGTATTAGTCGCTTGCTTCGACATAACCATCACGGTTTTAGAGTAGAGTATGGATTCAGTGAGTCGAGGTATTTTACCAGCAGTAAAAGTATTATGTCACGTTAGTATGAATCCTACTGACTCGCCCTGAGCGTACGGAGCTCAGCTTCAACATACTCTACATTAAATGAAGCTTCCCCCTCAGACATGTAGAAAGCTAAGCTACAGCAACATGGCAAAGCAGTTTCACTAAATCAAAGTTATTTATATGTAAACTAAACTGAACCAACGTTGTTTCAAGT